CCTCTGTTGCACAGCAGCTTCTTGCCAGTCAGCTCATGCTAACGGGCTAGAGAAGGCAGCTGTCCGAATGTCATCAGTCAACCACAGTGATAGATGTGAAGGAAGAACAGGGAAGCATGTGTTACTAACACTGGAGCCATGTGAGAATGCGCACAGTGCCTTTACGTTCGAAAGAAGTAGATCAGAATACTTCAGCTAGAGATGGGCCTATATAAAAAGAGAGGCCCGCTGAGGATCCAGAGAGGAACAGCATCACATACTAAAGTCCCATTTGAGTTTGGTGTTGTACTAGGGCGCTGGCCAAAGCAAACTAAACTAACGTGGCTCCTGGTTACCCTAAAGGAAGGACAGAGAAAAAAAATGTGTAAGTGAAGTGAATGCTGAAACGTAAACGACATGAACGGACAATAGAAAACAATCTAGCATTGTCTAAAAAAGTTCCAGATGTAAACCCTACAAACAGCAATTCCACCCCTACATATAAGGACAACTGAAAGAAACTTTTGCAAGGAGCACCAGGAGTCCTGAACAAAAATATTTACAGCATGACTGTTCATGATAACAAACAGGAAACAACGCAAATGTTCACCACAAGGAAAATTATGACATATTCATACAATGAAACTTCATCCATCAGTGAAAATATTTACTACAGCTACAACAGTGATCACTCTCACAAACTTAGTGTTGAGTTAAAAAAAAAAAAAAAAAAAAACCTGCACTAAAATAGTTCACGGAACACATACAGTATGATAGTATTTCCATAAACTTCAAAACATTCAAAATCTTAAAATACTGTTTAGAGATACATATATGTAATAAAACTGTAGTTTTAAAAGACAAGGGAAATGATAAACACAATTCAGAATAGTGTTTATTTTACCTTTGTGGGGAAAGGGGATGTGGTCAGGAAGGGGCATCCTGACAGCTTCCACATCATTGTAATGCTCTAGTTCTCAGGCTGAGTCAAGCATAGAGATGCAATTCTCATCGTTTTTTAAATAGCCTAAGAGTGTATATATGTGTGTGTATGTATGTATACATGTATGTACATAGAAAATGTTGTATGCATGAAATAATTCAGAATAAAAGAGGGAAAAAGAGAAATAAATAGAGTTGAAGGGAAAACCAGACAGTGGTCCCTAACCCTCACTCACACTTCCATCTGCCCAAGGCCAGACTAATAGAGTAAACAGTGAGCCGAAGACTACAAAGCAACAGAATTAACTCAGACAAAAAGATCACCTCCAGGCACTTCTCTGGGCTTATAGGGCAAAATCAGCTCCACTGTCTATTCAGAGGGTAAACTGTTAAGACACTGCACACTGTCCCAGAGTTGGAGAAAGACTACCTTGCCGATACAGAAACAGAAAATATCCTAAACTCGAGCAAATTTTACCAACGGAAGGAAAGTCCCCAGATGATTCCAAAAAACAGGAATGAATTGAATTTAGGAACAAGGCAGTAATTTTATGTAGCCCTGCAGGGCTGGAGAATTTGTGACCAGTTGCTGGGGGGCGGGGTGGGGGGGGAGATGAAGACACACTGAATAGGACTTTTACAAGAGCACAGAGAATGTAATTTGAAGTATAAATGAACATGAGTACTGAAGACGAAGTGGAGGCCCCAAGGGTTGCTATATGGGCTTTACCTGGCAGAAGGTGAGAGCCGAGTTTGGCACATGCCGAGTACATTAGGAAATTATATCAAGAGAGATCTATACCACGTCTGTGTAACACATGTACAGCCCACAGGCGCCGGCGAGGCAGGGCAGAGAGTCTGACCTATGCGGGGAAACTGACCGTCCATAAGGCCGGGCTCGGTCAGAGCGACCAGAGAAGGCCCAGGGCGGAAAATCCAGAAGGCCCCGCTCCGGGAGGGGAAAAGGGTGGTCCCGGCCGGAGACCGAAGGCGGGGCTGCCAGGAGAGGGCGGGGACCCCGCAGGAGGAGTCCTGGGAGGCCAGGCCAGGCCCAGCAGCCCGGCAGCCAGGGGGAATCTGGGGAGGGGGCGTCCCCTCGGACGATGGGACAGGGGGAAACGGGAAGGCGGGGGCCTGTCAGAGCCCGGACCGGGCAGCCCCTTGAGGGCCCGGTCTCCTCGCCCGCCGCTCACCTGGGCACGCAGCTGGACGAGCTCCGGTCCACCTCCCAGGTGGCGTACAGGTTCATCTGCACGGGGGCGGGGGTGCGGCCTGGCCCCGGGCCGCCCGGAGGCGCAGAGCCCGAGGCCACAGCGACGGCCATGGAGGTGGAGGTGGACGAGGACGAGGAGGAAGCGGCCGCCGCCGAGGTGGACGAGGACGACGAGGTGGCCTGGGCCAGCTTGGGGGGCGTTG